GTCTGGGGTTCAGATCTGATGTTTATTTAAAGTTTTATTGTTGAATCACACCTTAGTGAAATTTTGTGTAATGTCAATGAGTGATGGGTTATATAGTGTTTAAGAAAATTTGGGTGATAAATATTGCTTAATTATGAAATGTACTTTGAAAATGAGCCTTCACATGTACTGCATCGTATGTGTCGTCTGGTTTATTCACATATTTAAGAGTGACTTCAATTAAAGTGACTTCAGCTGTGTGTGCTTGAGGCTACCATCTCTCTTATATACACAAAAACACTCAGCCTGTATAACAGTATTTCACAGCTTGAAATTACAATGTCCTGGGCATACACAAGTGCAGCAAGAGTGTATAAAAGATATTATTCAAGCTGTCACGACCGTCCTCTGCTTATACAAGTGTGCACCATTCGTGTAACAGCAATAAATTATAGCTAAGCCAGTTATTTTCCTGGCGAAAACCTTTTATTTGCAGGAAATCCAACCTTACAGGAACACACGGGTTATCGGAACCTGGTATGTATAAATATACCAACAGTGTATATATATAAGGCACAGGTGTAATTTTGTCTGACTTTTTTGGGGTTATCCTAGATTATCTACACATATGTTACTAGTATGAAATTTGGAAATTTTTATTTATGTGATGTCCCCAACTTACTTACCTCACTGCATTTCTTGTTCTTGTGGGGTTTTATGGGTATGAATCACATCATAAGAATTGAGCCCTTATGCAAACGGGGAATCTTTATTGAAGAAAGTTTGCCACCAGTGGCTTATCGTCCAATAAAAGAGAAATGGGAAAGGAGAGGAGGTTTGAGTAATCGTCCCTCAACCGGGAATCGAGTAGTCAGTCCTCCTCTTGATTTTTAAAAGGAGTGATGGACTGAAACTCGATTCCAGGTTGGGACTGATTACCTCAAATTCTCCTCTCCTTACCCATTTCTCTTTGTTTGGACGTTGAAGCCCTGTGTGGCGAAACGTTTCTTCAGAAAAGGGGTTTCCCCATGTGTTGCTTTAAGGTTTTCCCCAATTCTTCAACTTGTCTGTTTTCAAAAACCATTACCACTCACTTATAATCATTTCCTTCATCCTTTTCCTTCGCAATGTTTTCACTACAAAACATTTCTCGATTTTTGCTTATCTAATTCATGTGTTTACAATATCCATTTCCCTGCAGACCAGATATCGAAAGTGATTTGGAAAAAAAAGGACCCAATGTATAAGTACTTTGTTTGACTTTTTGGGTTTGGTTTTATAAGGTTCCGTCAGGAACCGGGGGCCCGGTTTCCTGACGCGGGTTTTTAGTGATAACCCCCCCGTTGGAGCTTTTGGTCATCTGCCCAGGCCTTCGCTGGGTTACGGTCCCCCCCTTAAAAAATTTTTGGGCATAGTTACAAAACCCTTTGTTAAATTTTTTGGGGGTTGCCCTTTTTAATTTACATATGTAGATAATTGTCTTATGTGTGCCTGTGCCCAAAAAAACCCCACTTTATTGCCCCTTTTTTATGTTTGGGGGGTTGAAGGATCTGCGTACCAAAAAAGGTGATGAATTAGGGACGTAAAACACCTGGGTATGTAGTAAAAAACGTAGAAGTAAGACATTTATTTGAAAATTTTATGCTGACTGTGCACAAGTGTCTATCTACATTTTTGCGGTATCCCATACCCTTTTCCCGACACGGGGGGATGTGTGGCGAAATGCCTACAAAATAAAGATACACAGGTATTTTGCATGTCTAATTCACCAATTCATGAATATAATTACAATATTCAGCTTTAGGTACACTATTTATTTCAGCTTTAGATAATATTTCCTCAGCAGACCCCTGGAAGAAGGACTCTTTACGGCGCAAGGTGTCAGGGGCCCTGTAAACTATCAACAAAACAGACCAAAACTGGTATAAAATACCGACAGGTTGTTAGGTAAGACACATATGCAACAGTTAGGTATCTTTATTTCGAAACGTTTCGCCTACACAGTAGGCTTCTTCAGTCGAGTACAGAAAAGTTGATAGAAGCAGAAAATACTTGAAGACGATGTAATCAGTCCATCACCCTTAAAGTTTTGAGGTGGTCAGTCCCTCATTCTGGAGAAGAGCATTGTTCCATAGTATGAAACAACATGAAGATGAAGTGACAGGATGGTGCCTTATATAGCGCCAAGAGGTGAGACGTAGGTCACTAGAAGAGGTAAGAACTCAGATGTTGAGAGGTCAGGTCCCTCTCAAATCCAGCCCCTTCACTAGTGGAGGTTGTCGAAATTGACTGCAGGTCTGTACCAAGAAACCCTTGTGTTGCAGTGTCTGACAGATTGAACATTAAAATGGTATAAAATACCGACAGGTTGTTAGGTAAGACACATATGCAACAGTTAGGTATCTTTATTTCGAAACGTTTCGCCTACACAGTAGGCTTCTTCAGTCGAGTACAGAAAAGTTGATAGAAGCAGAAAATACTTGAAGACGATGTAATCAGTCCATCACCCTTAAAGTTTTGAGGTGGTCAGTCCCTCAGTCTGGAGAAGAGCATTGTTCCATAGTATGAAACAACATGAAGATGAAGTGACAGGATGGTGCCTTATATAGCGCCAAGAGGTGAGACGTAGGTCACTAGAAGAGGTAAGAACTCAGATGTTGAGAGGTCAGGTCCCTCTCAAATCCAGCCGCTCTCACTAGTGGAGGTTGTTGAAGTTGATTGCAGGTCTGTACCAAGAAACCCTTGTGTTGCAGTGTCTGACAGCTCGAGTGTCTAGTTTTGAGATATTGAAAATCCTCATTGGTGCTGCACCTGTCATCTGCTAAAATGATGATTGTTTTATGGCTTTTATACTTAATTTTCTTCACCACAGATCAGTTTGGCAGTATCTGAGCATAAGTAAGTTTATATAGGTACAGGTATATATAAGTACAGTTGTCATACATAGTGTAAATTATCTAGGGTAACCCAAAAAAGTCAGATGGTGACTTAGTATTTCCATGTTAATGTTTTTTCCTTCAAAGAGCAATAGGGTTAGGCCTAACAAATACATATACAGTACACACATTACTTACCTTAAAATATTTTCGTCCTTAGCTTATAGTGAGTGGTGAATATATTTATTGTAGGAAGTCTGAATACATGAAGAATGGGTATAATTGAAAATTGCTGTACAGTGAACCTTCAAGGCACGCATAACTGAGATAAAACACCTCAATTACTGGGAGCGCTTGAAGTTCCTGAACCTGTACTCCCTGGAATGCAGGCAGGAGAGATACACCTGGAAAATCCTAGAGGGACTAGTACCAAACTTGCACACGAAAATCACTCCCTACGAAAGCAAAAGACTCGGCAGACGATGCAACATCCCCCAATGAAAAGAAGGGGTGTCACTAGCATGTTAAGAGACAACACAGGTGCCCAAGACTGTTCAACTGCCTCCCAGCATACATAAGGGGGATTACCAATAGACCCCTGGCTGTCTTCAAGCAGGCACTGGACAAGCACTTAAAGTCGGTACCTGACCAGCTGGGCTGTGGTTCGTACGTTGGATTACGTGCGGGCCAGCAGTAAACAGCGGGTTGAAAAGGCCCTATCACCATGGGGCCTGGTCAAAAGACCGGGGCCGCGGGGCTTTTGACCCCGAACTCTTTCCAGGTAAACCCAGGTAGCGAAATGGTGTAAAACAAAGCGCTGTAAAGAGGAGCCCCCTGTAGTCACTTGGATTCTCAGGCATGCTAACTGACAATTGTTGGTCTTAGGCCTTAATTTAAGAATTAAGAAAATGCAGGGGCATAAATTAATTTTCACCAGGATTATGCTGGAGGGCTCCAGCGGGGTAATATTATGAACATTCAGTCTTTTAAAAAAAAAATATTATATACATATATCTTTTGTTTTACAAGGAAATATCTACGTTTTTAATTTTAAAAATTTAGAAAATTAAATTACCATCAGTTATTTTGATCTTTGCACAGGAATTCTGTGTTGGTTCCAGAACCATAGTAGGTAAAAGAAACCTGTCTGTTTGTACATAAAACCAGTAATAGAATACGGTAATCACTTTTTACCAATTTTTTTTGTTTGATCTATGCACATGTGCTTTTTTGTACCCTTGCATTGCCCCAAATACTTTCTCAAAACTTCAGTATCATTTGTGTAGCCTTGAAGGAAAAATCTGTCAGGGGAGTGGCCAGATGCCATGATTCAGGGAAAAATCTTTTACAATTTCAGTAAAATACTGGGTTTAATCCATACATCTGTATTTAAGGCAATATGGCCATGGAAATCCCCAACTTATTTATGGAATTTTCACCCCCATTGTTCTGTAAAACTGAGGTTTTATAACAGGGAAATTCATATAACACTACTTAAATTTCTTCAGAATGCATCCCGTGTTTTACGGGGCCCAAGTGAATAGAATTAATGTATAATAAAAATTTGACTGCAAACAGCTGGAGGAGACATGAATGCATTCAGTTATAAAGTGTCCAAGTAAAGGGCATTTGTTTTTCCTTTTCAACAAAAAATAAATACTTTGCAAGCAGTTTGAAATGCAAAAATTTTATGGAAGATGATTTACTTTTTTATGGAAATTTCATTTCAGGCATCTTAAGTGCAGTAGACTGAAGCATGTAAAACTCAGCTCAAGATACTGGATGAGTTTGTTAATGAGTGATTCCAATAAATATGTAGCAGGCTTTGAGACTTGCACCAGCAGATGGGGAACCAATTAATATACCCTTAATAACATCAGAGGAACCTTTAGTCGGAATTTTGAGCTCCTTTACAGCCAGGACCAAAAATGTCCCAGAAAGGGGAATTTTGTTTAGCAAAAATCGGACATCCCCAAAATTCCTTACTGACATTTTCTGCCCTGCTGTACAGACCCAATTTTCAGACTAAAGGTTCCTCTGATGTCATTAAGGGTTGATTAATTGGTTTCCCTCTGGCTGGTGCGAAGTCTCATAGAAGCCGTCTACATATTTAGTTGGAAGTTCAAACTCATGAAGAATCTCATGTATAGTATCTTGAGCTGACGTTTTACATGGCTTCAGTGCTACTACACTCAAGATGCCTGAAATGAAATTTTTAAATTGTATCATGTAAAATTACATTATATTGTCCTTAGGAACACCTTGAGTTACAAACATACATACTTATGGATGAAGTACTTAAGAACCAATTGCATTTTTTTATAACCACCAATCTAGTTAGGAACATGTGTGAAACACAAGCATTCTTTGATTTGTAAGTTGAAACAATGATGAACACAGTTCATTCATGAGTCAGGGACTCCCTGAATCCTATTTGGATTATCTTTTCAAGAGTGTCTTGATTCTGGTGAAAGGTTCTTGATCCAAGGAGTTTGAGTTACCCATCCTTTCCCTTCCTTGGATCAAACCTAGATACCTTCCATTCTCCAGGTGCTTTATGAATCCTATGGGTTTATTGCTTTCCTATAAATATGATGGTGATACTCAGTATTATGCAAGACAAAGAATGTGTAATGTGTTGTAGACGTTCATATGAAATGTGTTCTGTGCTTAAAAGAAAAGGGCATTAAAGTGTAGGAATAATATCAGGAATTACATAAAAAGTTACATATTAAATGCCCTGATAGTCAGCTTCTCCCTTCTTTTAGTGGACCTGCAGTAGTTCACCAAAACCCGTGTTTATGAGAGGATCCCTTTGGTGATGTTAGGTTTGTCCAGGACTTGGTGCTGGACAAACTGAAACATCATCATGGGGGTCCTTTCCCAAGTCCAGGTTTTGGGTGAATTGTTCCAGCCATGGTATTATGACTTTTTATTCTTTGTCCACAGCAAGCTGGATACAGTGACATGTATTATTCTCTAACTTTTTTTTTAACACACTGGCCGTCTCCCACCGAGGTAAGGTGACCAAAAAAGAAGAAATACTGTCACCATCACTCATCCTTCACTGTTCTCTAATGTCAGGACTAAAACTGGTGGTTACAGATAACACCGTCTTTTGCTGCTCTAGCAGTTTATACAATACCTATAATGTTTCTGGTCATTATTCATTCAACATTTTTTCTTTTGTGGTGGGACAGTTATACCTGTTTTTCTTCTGCCATTATGGTTTCTATTGGTGTGCTGTGCTGAATGATGTACGTGATAAGAAAGGCACTATGTTTATAAAAAACCTCCAGACATAATGTCTGTTTCACTTCCTGTCAGTTTATCTCATTGTTCATCCAACACATGTGGGTTTAGCAGTAACATTTCCCTTGAATATATGGTAATCATAATAATAATAATATTCTCTTTGTTTGCTGGAGAAATTCTAATTCTTTCTACATATTCTTAGTGCTGGCAAAGGGTGACTTCACTTTAATGTTGACAAAATTTAACTTGTACAAGAGGAGGCAAGCAGGCAAGTAAGTGGAACATGATTAAAGTTGATGCAAGCAAAAGAAGTAGGTAGGTTTTCAATATTACTTACTGTCTGAGTAGCTGAGATCAAAGAAAAACTTTCATACAGTAAAAATACAGAACAATGTAAAAAATGTATCATGTATTTTAAAAGTGTTTACTACATTTGTACAATAAAATGCATATCCTAGAAGAGAATTTCTCATTAAGAGAGATTAAATAGATAAATATCCTACTGTTTTTTCATAATTTTATGATAAAGCACGTTGGCTCTTTACCAATTTTGGCACGTGTCGCATGAGAGAAAAATATGTCATTGTCATACTACAGTACAGTAGTGGCCTTCAATATTACTTATAGATTTAATAAAAAATATTTAAATAAACGGCTGTAAATGTAACCTAAAATCTAAAAGGAAACTGTCGAATGCTGTTTTTGAAAAAAGTAATATTTGATATGGTTTTCTTAAAGTTTAAAATTTAGCAAAACAATAACATGTGGTACACTTCATCTTTGACCAAAAATTCAGAAATTCCTGAAGTGTAACTGCTTTACATCAAGATTGAATTGCTTGACAAATATTGATAAGAACTAATGCTATTTAAGTGGCAAAATAGCTGAATTACACACAGGTTTTAAAAGTTTCAAATACAGTACTGTAGATAGTAGAGACAATGCAGTGACATCGTTATTGATTTCAACTTTTCACCCACAAGTATGAAGCATGATGAAAATATTACAGCTTATATATAGGGTATTCAGGGAGTAGGCAGGTGTAAATAAGCTGAGTGGTTATGGGGTACTGCGAACAGTTTACTGAGTCACTGTTCCAAGATGATTTGTTCTATGGAAGATGCTAGTGTGAACATAACACAGTTTGATTTTATGGTGTTAATCTGATTTTAGACGATTCCAAATACAGTGGACCCCTGACTTACGATATTAATTTGTTCCTGAGAGCACATCGTAAGACGAAATTATCGTAAGTCAAATTAATTTTACCCATAAGAAATAATGGAAATCAAATTAATCCGTGCAAGACACCAAAAGTATGAAAAAAAAGAAACTTTTACCACATAAAATATATATTTTCCTACACACAAAAAGAAGGATACATGCACAATAGTAGAGCAGCACATTATTTTTTGTCATGTACTATCTACTAAATGAAGAATGACACTTACCTTTATTGAAGATGCACCAATGACTGATGAGACACTGTCCTGTGAGTGCCTTTTCCTCCTGAGTAATGTAGGTCCTGTTTGGCATTTTCTTCCAAAACAGGCCTTATCACACTGTGTATGCCACTATGATTCTTAAATCTTCAAACCAACACTTTGTTGGCCTTAAATTCACCAATAAGAGCACTAGTTCCAGGCATTTTTTCCTGTTCACCTGGGTGTTAGTCGACTGGTGTGGGTCGCATCCTGGGAGACAAGATTAAGGACCCCAATGGAAATAAGTTAGACAATCCCAATGACCACACTGACATTTTTTTGGTTCATCCTGGGTGGCTACCCTCTGAGGTTAATTGTTTTCGGTATTTCAATTAAGCCCACCAACAAGGGTTGACTACAGCAGCAGCTGACCGGTGTGTCCTACAGAAGCAGCTCGGTGCTACAGCAGCAGCTGATGGTGCTACAGCAGCAGCTGACGGTGCTACAGCAGCAGCTGGTGCTACAGCAGCACCACCAGCCCTTGTTACAGCAGCAGCAGCAGCTGACGTGGTACGATAGTATTTCTCACCCTTTTTACTACAGGGTTGGCACTAGAAGCTTTCTTTGGGCTCATGGTGGCTTATTTAGCAGTTAGAAGCACTAAAAACACTGGAATAATACCAAATATTCCGAATGTATGCGTGGGAGTGACCACTTTGACTTGTAAACATTGGCACACTAACTGAAGGCAGGCCAGCTGAGGCGCGCTCAGGTGGACAGACGTGTGGATGCAGTATGGGGCAAATGCTGTAGTCGAGTTTTTCAATACATTGGGGTCTAATTTTTACGCTGAAAAGCATCGAAGGTCAGTTTTAACGTAGGCTGGGGACATCATATGTCAGGGGTCCACTGTACTTCCATTTAATTTGGTGCTTTTCTTGAAATAGTGGCCTGGCTCCGTTCCTTGCTATGATGTGAGAGTGGGTGTTGTGATTTTACACACATGCGTTGTTTGTGTTGTTCATTTTACAGATGCTTTCATTTCTGTAGGCACAGAATCCTGCATCCTTAGATTCTTTGTAGGGCACTGCAGTCCTCATGAAGTTTTGGATAGTTTTGGTAGCAACCACAGCATTGTGTTGACTTGGCATAGTGACCCCTATATTAAACAAATTCAACACCATTATTGCTGTGGTTACCACTAAACAATTCAAGACAACACGAGGGCCTCCACACCCTACGCAGCAGACATCTATAACATCTTGAAATTGGAGAAACTGCTAGGAGTCTTCCTATATACCTACCGAAGTACAAGTACTCCTGTAAAGTGGACAACATGATCAATGCAGCACTCACTCTCACATCACAACATATGACAAAGCTATTTCAAGAAAATTACAAAATTAAATGTAGATATTTGGAGTAATCTATAATCAAACTAACACCATAAAACAAAACTGTATGTTCACACTGATGACTCCCACAGCACACTCCATCTTGGAATGGAGGAAACCTAATGTGAGCCAGTAAGCTTTTGGCAGAGATCCACAACTATTTACACCTGTATGAGCTGTAATTTTTCTCATTGTGTCACGTACTCGATAAATCTCACTCATGAGTAAAACACTGTATCAAGCATTAAGTATCTATCTACCCTTGTTGCATCTTAAGTACGTACAATACAGTGGAACCTCAGTGTTTTAACGTATCGGACCTTGAACAAACCAGAGTCCTAACAGTTTTGTTCAGAAAAAATTTATCTGATTTTTTAATGTTTTTCTGGAGTTCAAAAGCACTTGTTTAAAATTTAGTTATAAGAAAATTTACACAAAAGCCCTGTTTCAAAAGTGTTTTGATGTGGCCACTAACACTAACCTAACTCTCAGAGACTTTTGGAAGAGTCAGTTCAACATTTTCCAGTGTGAGGGGCTGATAATTAAAACCTGGGAATACTGTTTTGGACACTGAACTTTTTGCAGTTCCAACACCACCTAGGAACCAATTAAGTTCAAACACTAGGGCTCCACTGTACTTTAATTCATGCAAATTTGTCTATTTGCATTGAGCAAATTTGTTAAGGAATAAAATCACAGTACTGTAAGACCCTTGTATCCATGGGGTGTACGTTCCAAGGACCTGCCACAGACGCTGAAACCATGGATAGTAGGGAACCCTATGTATGCCATTTGTGTGTAATTTAATTGATAAATTACACACCAGCAGATAATTATCACTTTTTCACTGATGGGAAGCACTTCATGGCTTCTCTTTAGCTCTGAAGAACTTCCACCATCACTACTTTTGCACTTTGAGGCCATTATTAAGCAAAATTAAAGGTTATTTTTGGGCCACGGTAAACCACAGATAACTGAAACGGTGGATACTGGACCCGAGGATACAGGGGGTCCCACTGCACTGTTGTTTTACTTCAGTACAATACTTGTAATTATGGCAGTTCTGTCATAGTATAATAGCAAAATTCATCACAGTTTATCACTTTAGTCTTCAGTGAATTTAACTTTTGTATTCATTGCTTGTGCAATGAGTTTCCTTAAATGATTTGGAGAAAAACCGCATGATGAATATGTCTCTCTGCAGGATTCTGAAGATTTTGTGGCAGCGCCTATGTCTGCCGCACGAACATACGGTTGTGCCCAGTCTGGGACTGACTCTCCTGCGAAGTATGGTCTGTTGGTAGAGTTTGGTGAAAGAAAAAGGCAATATGTGAGATTATTTGGTAATACCCTACAGTTAAATAATTTTATGATGAGTTAAGCACCTTCCATGACTATGATCATAATAATACTTTGATGAAATGTAGAACTATGAAGTGAAACATAATAAGTTCATCTCACGAGAAATTTCAAAGCCCTTATAATATACCGTAAACTGATTTGTGTATAATTAATGTGGAAAAACAACATCCACTTTCCTTCCAAACATCTGACACAAAACTTTTATGCAATTTTTTTCTTCTTGTTAGACACATATAGTAACAGGTTTTACAAAACTTCCGCAAATTTCCACACATCACTAAACACACCAAATTCACAATTTAATTTTGAATTCATTGTGCAATTAATTTACTTTTGCTGCAAGTCATTTTATGTCACACATCAGATACAAACTACTACTAGTGTTGGGACGATACCAAAATTGATACCGGTATTCAATTTTAGGCCAATACAGTGGACCCCTGGTTTACGATATTATTTCATTCCAGAAGTATGTTCAGGTGCCAGTACTGAACGAATTTGCTCCCATAAGGAATATTGTGAATTAGATTAGTCCATTTCAGACCCCCAAAATATACACGTACAAACGCACTTACATAAATACACTTACATGATTGGTCGCATTGGGAGCTGATCGTAAAGCGGGGGTCCACTGTACTGATACTTTTTTCAATATTTTTTATTTTTAAAATTGTAGTAATTGTGTTCAGTATATAAGGAAATGCTTATTGCACAATGGGTATTAAATGACCCAGGGAGGTTAAATATTAAATCATTTCTCTGAGGTGACACTTTCATTACTAATTAAAGGCAACCGTGTGAGGCTTACAAATTTCCGAATCTATCTACATTTTTAGTAATCTGATGAAGACATGATCAAAAATTAATTACAGAATATAAGTCTGAATAATTTCCAGTTATACTAAACATAAAACTAAAACATCCAACATTCTCATAATACTGTTTACTTAAATCTTTAGAAAAAATATGAAAAATTGAGAAAAAAAATTATTATTGTAATAACTGGTACCTAAAATCTAAAATAATTGTTCAGAACTTAAGCAATAACCTCTCTCATTATTAAGCTGAATTAACCGACACATTTCCATTATACAGTTTAATTTTTTTTTTTTTAACTTTTAAGAAACTCATTGGAAAAGAGTAATGTATGTAAAATAAACAAGTTACATACATTACTCTAGTAGCTAAAATTAAAAATTCTCAAATTAACATCGAAGAACATCAACGTCTCACCATTTTTGGAAATTAATCTGTTTCTATGAGAAGAGATGTTCCCTCCAATGCTGAACAATCTTTCACTCTACTGAAGAGGGAGTTGAACTCATATATTTACTGGCTAGGATTCCCAGAGCTGGAAGAACTAACATATGTACAAGAGACAATCATAATTTGTGTGAGTTACATTCTTGAAAACTACACTACTAATGATTTCTGTGACTTAATAATAATATTTTTATTTCTACAAGTATATGTATAAGGTATACAGGCCTAGATAACATCAATGACATACTACTATATAGAAAGCTGCTTGTTATGCAGAGCATTTTGAGCAAATTAGGTCAGTTTTGTCCCAGGATGTGACCCACACCAGTCGACTAACACCCAGGTATCCATTTTATACTGATGGGTGAACATGGACAGCAGGTGTCATATGGAAACACTTCGTAATGTTTTCCAGCAGTACTGGGGATTCAAACACCAGACCTGCGATCGAACTACAAAACACTGTATGGACTGAAAAGCATGTGGGAAAAATAGGGTTGTATTCTTCAGAACTCCGAGAGAGCTTTAACAAATACATATTTTTGTCACAAAAATATTTTCTTAACTAACTTTGTTGATGATGCTCTGTAAAATATCTGATTTCTAGCGAGGTTCAGACAGTTAAAAGAAAGTACATTAGCTAAAAAATGGTTACATTAATACTGTACATTATTTGTTTCTCACCTTCAAGTCAAGTTCAGGATGCTTAACATGCTGAAGTGAGTGGAAAGGATGGCTGTAGACCTATTCCTCAGTCTTTTCACTGTGTCACATTCAGGATTACTCATTGTATAAGCTCTTATCTTTGTCTCATTATCTCAAATTGATAGACTCGTTGATTCTCTAACATCAAACACTTGTGCTGTCAGCATGATGCATGCACCACCCTTTGGCATCACAAATTACCCCCAGTTTTTCATAACAGGCATAGTTTCACATTTAATCTTCTTCCTTGCTTCACCAGTGTCACATGACTTTGTTTTGTGTTTTATGTCTTTGATCCATGGTCCTTGATTTTTTATTTATTAATTTTTTTTAGCTTGTCATCCATTTTCTAAAGAGATAATATGAATCAAAGATGGAAATACATTTACAATCATTCATTTCCCAGTTTGCCAGAAGTGCATGGACATCACAATTCAAATGATCTACCAAATCACATTTTTCAAGGACTTTGCTTCCCACCAACAGAACTCATGTCTGGCTAACCAATTTTCCCTAAAATCCTTCATGTGTTACTTTCTCACTTCAAATCTGAAAAACTACTTGTTTCCACTTTGATCAAACACACCAGGAACATAACCATCACACTAACACTTCTCTGCTTGCCTCTGTACACCCTAAGAACTACCTCAGAATTTTCTACTCAATTTTGCCTGTTTTACTCCCATTTTCATTGTTATTTCTTATTATGACATGAGCCCTTTAATGGTAGCTCGCTATCTGAGCTATCAGTTTTTTAACTTCAAGAGCTAACATCAGCACTTATTACTCTAGTAAAGTGATAGACACCTTACAGTCAGTACCTTCTTTTCTCAGTCCCCTGCTGGTCTGAGTCCCTCAACAGGATACCTGGTAAATCATCATTCTCAGTGTGTATACCTTTTGGTGAAAACTATAATGTAGCCAAGCAGAATATATTATTTTCTATTTGTCCCACTGGATCCGTGATCAGACAACAATCTGTCATCAGATTTACCTCAACAGGATAGAAAATTCTGTGTACTGGTCAGTTATCCTCTGCTTGCCTTATGTTGGAAGGATCCTCTGTAATTGAAAGAATCATCTAGGAATTATCTTTCTAAAGTCATAGATGTGAAATGACATCTTATTGTGTTAGAGTTTTGGCACTTGCCAAGAGGGTGTGGGCATTCGCCAAGAACCTGACAGGCCTTATATGATCAATTTGCCCTCAACTTTTCCTCCCAGCCTTAATCTGGCAGCTCAACAGCTGAGGAAGCTACATACAACTAATCAGGTCATTTATAACTATCTTAGGCAATGCTTTATGCTTAATTACAGTACATCAGCTTTGACTTTTCCTTGTAGCACATAAGTCTACTGCATCATTGTCTCACATAGGTGTGCATTGTGCCCCTGTATGAAGTGTCAGGTAATGCTGACAGTTCAGTGTTTCATAATTAATTTTCCTGCTCACCAGTGAACATGTCTACTTCATTTCAGACACCTTAAGACTTATTATACTACATGTACCTTCTTTTCTGAAAGCCTCCCCATTAATGTGGATGCTCTCTAAAATTCCTTAACTGACAATAATTTTGCTCTACGGTTTTCAGTCTCTCTTTATTTTTGCCACTGTACCTTCTTTTCTGAAAGTCTCCCCATTAATGTAGATTCTCTCTATGATTCCTTAACTGACAATAATTTGCTCTACGGTTTTCAGTCTCTCTCTTTTTATTTCTGCCATTGTACTTTCCTTAATACAGTTACCTTTATGTCTCTAATGTTTTTGCTTAACCTTGCCATGTTGCACTAAACCTAAATAACCCACACAATAACAGGTAATAATAAACAGGTATTTAGGAATGTAGTGCTCTCCATGAATATACGATACTAATAAAATAAGAGTACTCATTATAATCACATAGGCCTATAACAACTGATTAATTGAATCTATATCTGCAGATAATGCCTCCTACCTGAAGACTTTCCTAAATGCTGCTTCTTCAGTGGAAACAAGGTCTTCAGAGTCAGCATAAATGGCACAGAACACAAGAGGAACACACTGCAGAGGGTCACGTGAAGTTGCATTTTCGAAGTCCTGCTTCAGCTTATAGTCTGTGTCCGCACTTCTGTGATGTCTCAACACTAATGCTGTTAGGATAAAGTGTGAATTAGATAAGTGCTTGAAATATTTCTATTAAATGTTGAATAAATATATGCAGTATATATGAGGTTATCACTAATTCTAGTAAAATAAAGTTCCTATTGTTTATAAAGTTACATGGCTGAGGGCAAGCATTGTGGGAACTGATCAAAATAAGCTATAGAAACAAACACATTAATCAGATTTTAATATACGATAAGAACCAAGCAAGGTGTGTAGGAGTAACTATGAACATAATTCATATGAATAACAAATTTCTATATAGAACTCTAAAAATTACATGTAAAAAACATAAAATACTCATAAATTCCATAATATGATTACACCCAAAACCCATATTCACCACAAAGCTGTACAAATATAGAAAATGAGCATCCTATCTGTCTGAGGATGGGATGAAGCTAATTTAGAGGGTAAACTGCAGCATCTCCAGCAAGGAATAAGTAGACACACATGCTGCCAAAATAAAATTAAAAAAATAAATAAATAGACCTACTTTGTGAGGCCAATTATAACATACGTTAGAAGTACGCCCAAGAAACACATGTCCTAACAAAGATCTTTACATCTGGAGCCTTTCTAAAGTATCTCATTCTAAAGACCCTTGTAGGTTTAGTACTTGTTTTTTATTATAATAATCTCATTACAAAACATTACTGCTGCTATACACAGTAAAGCAGTCATATTTAACCCTTTCAGGGTCCGTGCTGTAGATCTACAGCTTTACTTTGAGGGTCCCAACCGTAGATCACGCCATGAGCTCAGCTCACTCTGATAAGCTGTAAGCAGTAAATTTGGGCCTAGATATAAGAGAATTCTCCATGGGGAAGTGGAACAGAATTCTTCCTCCGTAAGCCATGCGTGTCGTAAGAGGCGACTAAACTGCCGGGAGCGAGGGGCTAGTAACCCCTTCTCCTGTATATATTACTAAATGTAAAAGGAAAAACTTTCGTTTTTCCTTTTGGGCCACCCCGCCTCGGTGGGATACGGCTGGTGTGTTGAATGAAAGATATAAGAGAATACATCTATGTGGTATGTGTGCATCATATAAAACAAATCCTGCAGCACTGCATAATGAGAGAAAAAAAAGTGAGACCGTAATTTTCTCCTATGTTTTTTATAGGTGTATTTGTGATTTCTTGGTCTCATTTGATAGAATGAAAGATATATTACAGAAATAGAGATAATTTTGATTGGTTTTAGTACTGAAAATGGCTTGAGACCAAGCTCAAAGTAGCGGAAATGTTAAATTTTTGCTGATATTCAAGAGTAAACAAATGACCTCACATGTCTAATACATCCCAGCTGGTGGGTCTAATATACTTTACAAATTTGGGGTGATTTATTTATTGATTTTCTTTGTGTTGGAAACGGGAAAAGAGACTGATTGGATGATTTTATTTTGGGAAAGGGGGAAATCCCTTCCTCAACCCCCTGGGGATAAATTGCTTTTCGGGGTTACTTCTCTTGTCTGTTTCTTAATGCCTTTTTTTTAGGACCACCTTAGAGTCAGGGTCCTGTCTCGCAAAAAAACTGTCCAGAGAGCTCTGTTTCTGCGTCTCTTTAAAACTTTCCCTAAAAGGGCCAAGACTCGTCACTGTACAATTTTGCTGAATGGCTTGCAACACCCTTTCTCTGGGTGATTTTTTTCTCCATAAATTTTCCATCCTACCCCACTTTTCAAAAATCCCCTTTAAATTTTCGAAGAAGGCACCTTCCTCCATCTCCTTCCCCCTCCTCTGAGCAAGATTTGAGCTGCGACTTTGCTCTTCCTGCTGAAGCTCTTGCAGCTCTCAGGGGTTGCTCTTCGTTGGGTCCTCCACCAACTCTCCCATCCCCCAAACCACACCAACCCCAGGAACTCCCCAGTGCCACAAGGATAAACAACTAATAGGCAAAAAGGGTCAGCCCCAAACCCTTCAAAACCCCTCTTGTGGACACAACTGGCCACAATTTTCCCCAAGCAGATTTTCAAAGTCCGGTATCACTCCCTCCCAACCCTTTCCCTAAAGGCTTACGCAAGGGAAAAAGAAAAAGTGTTCTTTCCAAAAATCCGTAGGGTCAAGTGCTGGGTCCATTAAAGACCTTTAAAATTGCTTGGTGTAGTTTTTTTTAAATTTTGCAATACCGTGGTCCGGGGCTGGAGGAGAGGAGTTTTTTGGGGGCAAAAATTTTTCTGTGAGAACCCAAACTCCTTCAAAAATTAGGTCACCCAAAGTTTGGGGGATGACAGTGCATTGTCCATTACAGGGGGCACTTGAGATCCAATTTTTTTTCCAGGAGGAATTCTTCACACTGGGCCAAAAACCTTCTTGAACCACTCGACGAAAATGTCCCTTGTGACCTAGCCACTATAGATCCCCAAAAACACACACTTTTACCTTCATAACATTGTTTTTTCTTAACATGGGATTTTCAGAGGTACACAGTAACGGCTTCACTTTGAAATCCCCAAGCATTAGCACAGAACATTACTCCCCTGTCTTCATAGGCTTGTGTCCTGGCAGCGCCTTTTCTTCCTGAGTAAGTAGGTCCTTTTTGGCATTTTCTTCCCAAAAGAGGCCGGTTTCATCCAATAAAACACTTGTTCGGGTTTCACCCTTACTTTTTATGTACCCCTTTGAACCCAGCACATATTTTTTAGCCGCCTTGGGGCCCGAACTGGCACCCTCACCATCCCTTACCCACTGGTTTACCGGAGTTTTTACCGGGAGAGAGTTTCGGGGGTCAACGCCCCCGCGGCCCGGGTCGTGACCGGGCCTCCTGGACCGGGCCCGTAGCTTTTTAAAATCCTCAAACCCCTTTTGCTGGCCCAAAAATTTCACTCACACATCACTATTTTGGGGGAAATTTTCTTACCAAATCGCATGAAACTGCCTAGCCTTTTCACAAAAAGCGATGTCATAAGACTATCTCCTGCTAATTTTTTTTCATTTATCCACCCCAATTTAAAATTTCTAAACATCTTCGGTACGGGATCTCATTTTTTGTCACATATTTACCCCCTTTGCAACAAAGCACCCTTGATTTCCTTTTTCTTGGCTATGATGGAAGATAAGTTTACGGGTTTTGTTAAATCCTGGCCTTTGCCCCACCGTACCCACTATCATATTGTTCAATGATTTTTTTTCTTAAATTCAATCGTATTTCTCACCTTCTTACCAAACTTGGCACTAGGATTTTTCTTGGAGCCATGTAGCTTTTTTAGCATTAAATAATTTGCAAGCACTAAAATAAATGGAATATTTAAAAATTTTTCGGGGAGATGTGGGGGGCCCGTCGCTCACGGGTAAACAATGGCACACTGGCTGGGAAGGAAAGTCCGGGGGCTCAGAGCATGATATGCCCGGGGAGGACTATTTGCGAGTTCGGGCCTTTTGCAAACCCAAATATTTTGACAAAAAAACAGGACTATTTCCGAATGGACGACTTTCAGGCAACTTTATTGAGGGACCACTGTATATTAAATATTTTTTTAAACGTAATGGCATCTCCCACCGACGGGAACCAAAAAAAAAGAAAAAAATATAAAGTTTTTCTTCTTTTTACATTTAGTAATTTATACAGGAAAGGGTTACTAGCCCCTTGCTCCCATATTTTAATCGCCTTTTGCATGCAGACTTAGGAAGAAAGATTTTTTCCACTTCCCCATGGGGATAAAAGGAATTAAAATAAGAAAAAGAACTATTAAGAGAATAAAGAAAATCAGTGATGTATATGCAAACAGTGGGCCCCCCTTTTCTTTGGGCTCTGTTTTCGTTGCTTTCCTCCCTCTCGGTGGACAGTAAAAAATTGGCTTCGATTTTTTTTGCTTTCCTCTTTTTCTCTTGCTTCCCCCCTTTCTTTTTGTTTTCCCTTTGTTCTCGTCAGGGGTTGGGTCCCGTCTAGTGGCCACGCACACAACCTCTGACACACACTTTTGGGGGAGCAGGGTCGCTCTTTTTAAAAGGGGGAGTAACTTACCATGCGAGTCATGGGAATTTTTCGTAAAATTCATTATTTTTTGCACTTGTTATTCTGTGGCTGCTAAATAACCCCCATGGACCTGAACAAAGCTTAGTGGCAGCCTTTGGAAAAGAAGGTGAGAAAACAAAGAATTAAAGAAAAAAAATCTTTGAAAAATATGAATTGGATCGACATCGCGAGGAAATACGGAAAGCCTGCACAACAAATTTCCCATGTACTAAAAAAAACAAAGTAAGGGAACGATGTTGGAAAGGGGTAAAAGTGAAAAACAGAGATCACAAACTTTGGAAGATTTTGGAAATTGTTGTTGTGGGATAAACAAAAAACAATTAGAGGAGATGGTTTTGGCATCAATAATTTGCGAAAAGAAAAAGGCGCGCTCCCAAAACCATAAAAAAAATGCTTGACGATGCTGATTTTTACGCTTTGGGGACAAAGGCGGGTTTAAAAAAATTTCAAAGCGAGTGGCACACACATGTTGAAAGGGGCTGGTGAGTAGTGAGTTCAATAAACAACCACGAAAAATTTGTGCTGAATTAAAGGAAACAAAAAGGGTTTGAAGGATTCTCCCCAACAAGTGCAATTGTGACAAAAAGCCTCATTTGGAAGAAAATCCCAAAAGGGGCCTAATCACGAGGAGGAAAAGGACCCCAGGACAAAAGCCTATGAAAGACAGGCTACTCTCTTCCGTGGTAATGCTAGGGGGGATTTAAAAGTGAACCCTTTACTGGTGATCACACTAAAAATCCAGTGTGTTCAAGAAAAAAATTTTTTGCCAAGAGAAACTGTGTGGTGATTGGAAGCAAATGTAAGGCGGGGTCGGGGGGGAAAATTTTTTCTTGATTGGGTTCAATGCAGTGTTTAAACCGATGGAAAAAATATCTCCTGGGAAAAAAAATTTCCCATCAAGTCCCCCGAAATGGACAATGCTCCATCACCCTCCAGCCTGGGACCAAAATGGTGGAGTTTAATTTCATCACAGTGAAGTTCTTGCCCCCCAATACCACTCCTCCACCACCCTGGGGCCAACAGATATTTCAAACTTCAAAAAAAATCCCCACAAAGCAGTGTTTCAAAGGGGCTTTGATGTGGGCCT